ACATCTGGTGATCATATATACCACGCCAAGGTACGTAACTTCATCAGAACATGTTAGCTTAGAGTCAAATAAATGCCACGAAGGAGCAACATTATATGGGGGGGGGGGAACGAGCACCCACTTCGCCTCTTGCCGGATCCGCCCCTGCGACTGATATATCTCCTGGCGGAGATAATAATAACAACACCATCAATTTATTTACGGTATATTTATGAAACATAATGAACTCTTACCATTCCCAAATACACCGTCCAATTCCTCATGAAGACGTTTTTGGACATCCAGATTTGAGCCTAGCAAATACATTGCCCAATTGACAGCAGCTGCAGTGGTGTCATGTCCCTGAAGAACTCATAAAAACAAGCAATATTGATAAATTAACAGTGACGACAATTTGCATATTTATTTATATATACAGTAGAACCACTATTAAGGGGACACCTTCGGGACCAAAAAAAAAAACTGTACCCTTAATAGTGGTGTCCCATAATAAGGGACACCAATTCAGAGGAGACTAACAAAAACCATGAATATTATTATTATTATTGTCCCCTTAATAGGGGTTTTGGGTATGTCTTTGTACAATGATGATATAGGCTACGTTCAGACTTGGAGATAGGCCATTCTTACATTAAGGTTAAGCCTGGCTTAACTTTGCTGGGTGTTCAGATAAGCGTAACCAGGAAACGAGTTTTGAAACATTGCGCACGAAACGTACACAGAACACGTAATTGAATGCTGATTGGTTGTTTTTTTACCCGGAGTCAACACAAGACCCCTCCCCCACCCAACCTGCAGCGATTAAAGCGGCACACCAGGCCTAGTTACTATAGGAACACAGCCCGGCTTGAGATAAGCCACCTAGTTCAGACTGGCAGGTGGATAAACCTGGTGAGTTGAGCTGGGTTTATCTGAATCTTCATACTTTTATTTTACTTGACCTAAGAATGAGTTACAGTTGAATAACTAATTTATAAAAAAAATTTGCAATGCAAAAAAATAATTCATTAATGACATTAAATCAACAGATATGACTACAAAAGTTTTATGTTTCTGATAATTTTTCTTAATTCTAGTGCAATGTAAATGACCACTGACGAGATGTACAATTGACAAGATTGTATTTATATGAAGTTACACATGCACTAGGCATATGCTAATATCTTTTCTAAAGATTGAGAGAGAAAAAATGGTTAAAATGGTTTGATGTGAAGTCTATTTCTCAAAGGGTCTCAATATATATTTTTGAGAGTTATTTTCTTATACTGAGACTATAGAAGTTGTTTTGATACAACAAAAAGAAATGTCCCCTTAATAGGGGTTAAATTGTATTGTTTTGACCATTTTGCACATTCAGAAAGTGTCCATGTCCCCTTAATAGGGTTGTCGTTGGCCACAATGTTAAAATATATATTTCTCCTTGTTTAATGGAAGATTGTCCCCTTAACAGGGGTGTCCCCTGAATAGGGGTGTCCCAAAGTAAGGCTTTACTGTATTTATCTGTAACTAATTTTATAGAGGTTTACTCTTCTAGGTTATCTCCAAATGCCAGCAATTTTCATGATTATGATATAATGCTCTTTAAATAAACAAAATCTCCAAACAAGGCTTAGGAAGTGAAAATGATTTTTAGTTCTTCTCTCCCCCCACCCCACACGCCATGGAATATCTGGAATACTTTACCTCAAACATGAAAGTGTCCACTTCTTCACGTATGTCACTGAATGTAAAACATGGATCCTCAAAATGCATACACAATAGCAGATCTAGAAATGCAAGTCGCTTTCGTTTTCCTATAGTTTGAGGTTCCAAAGATGCAAGAGCACCCTCTGCCTTCTGTTTCTTTAATAGCTCCTTGAATTCTTTAGCATGATTTTCAATCACCTATCAATTTTGTTAAAATAACAATAATCAACTGTGTTGAAATTTTAGACTTATTCCATTTATACTCTGCAGTACAATCCTTATTTATTTATGGTAAAGATAGACTGTGATTAATAATAAGCAATTAGAATAGTTACTGTACGTATCATACACTAGTGGAAATAATTTATACTTAGTTTACATTAATGCAAGAAAAAAAAAATCCTGAGGGCCTGCAAGTCCAGAAGGAATTTTTTGAAAGCATTAATTAAACCTAAGTATAAATAATTTCCTCTAGTGTATAGATAAGCACTATTCTAACTGCTTTAAAGTCAATCACTGTCTTTTAATGTTAGTTTTATAATCAAAATGTTGTAGTCATTGGTTGCTTTAGTGATATGATCAGTATATCTGTGCAGGTATTAAATTTATGTTACACTTATATTTACATGTATATTAAAGGTAGGAGAATAACCCATAACTTGCAGCGTCATTGTGCTGAATTGTGTATGGGGGGTGGTCCATGACTACCTATTGATATTATTCCACGACAAGTGCTGAAATGAACCATCGCATAGGGGTTGCTCTCCTGAAAGATGCAATGATAAACGTTTGGTTTTTTTAGTTTATTACGGTCCACTGATTCAAGGAATACCATAATTTTTCATACATATTATAATATTGAAGTCGAAGTGACTTTCTTTGGTTCTAATACCTTGTTTTACAAACGTAATTTTTAAAATTACCAATTGTCAACAAACAACGATAGGGCGGGTGCCTGCCCTCTCTTTCTGAAGGCGTGCATCATAGTCCTAGGTGTAAAAAGACTAGCCTAGAATTTGTTGCAGTGTACGATATGGCGATACATGAGTTGAATTGGTTGTGGATAGGAAAATAACATTTGGAGTTACAGTGATGATGTCATGATTGATTTATAATATACAATATATTATTATTATTATTATTATTATATGATGATGAATATTATAATTATTATTATCAGTTATACATTAAAATTATAATATTAATTTAAAATATCAATAACATTAAAATATTATTTGGAATAAATACCGTCGTTGTCATTTTGTGTAGTATTTTCAGACATTTTGCATGTTCTATTCCAGATGGAAACATCCTGAACAAGAAGTAAGGCCACATCCATGGAGATCTCTGCCTTTTCATAATCAAGTAAGTGATTCTAAATACAAATTAAAACATACATTTGATATTGCAGAATTTACTGTTATACTAAGATTGGAAAAGTGCATAGTTTGTTCATTCAAGTTACAACAGTTTAAAAACAATGACAATCAATTACAGGGTTAATTAAAGACCCACCTGATTAAGGAGCAGTTTTCTATGGTCCAAAATTAATATTATGTCTTTTATCTTTATTATTCTAATTAGAAAAAAAAAGCTGCTAAAGGCCATGGAAATCACGGTCCAAAATTAGTCTTTAATAGGAGGGAGGCCTGTATTAATGACCTCACCTTGGGTATAAGTATCAATCAAAGATCTTATACACAAGATAGCATTCGCCGCGATTTTACACGTAACCGATAGAAACGTCGATTTGGCACAGAAAAGTAATCAGTTTTGGGAGAGGGCGTCCTAGTCGTTGCCATGGATCTGAGATAGGGTGTTCGTGTTACGCCAAAGTTTGTTACCAAGTACGTTAATTTGTTCCTTATGTTCTGAAGAGAGGGCGCATTGTAAATCGGACGCTTCTAATTGTTAGGCGTAAACGTAAAGTCGCGCGGCGTACACTATGGTCAGAGCGGTTAAGGTTCAAAAGTTTCCAATTTGAGTCATACAGAAGACCTTCCCTTAAAGCTAGTCAAAGAGTTCTCACCTGAGTTAGCGCTTCCTCTTGCTGACATCTTCAATACAGCCTTACATGAAGGTCATTTCCCCAAAATCTGGAAAGCTGCTACAATCGTCCCGCTATCTGTCTGAGCATTGACGGATTCACCCATTGCAGTCTCTGTAGAGCAAAAGAATCAACAACCAACATTTGCATTGGTAAATACAGTCATGGGCGTAGGCTGGGGGATGGACACACCCCCTCTCCTCAAGATGGCAAATTAGTTCTACTACCAAGGGGTTAAAACACTAAAAATGAGCATAAAATTTCCTTTGCCATATGAATTTAGTTCCGCATTCTCAATTTTTATGCCCCAGGGCATCTTGCACCCACTTCGGACCCCCAAACACAGACCGAAAAAAGCCTACACCCCTGACTACATATATATATATATATATACATATTCTACCTCATTACTTAGTACATCTTCATCAACATTAGATGCTTGATGTTTTGCAACAAGGAGATAAGTTTTTTTTTTATTAATTTGAGCAATTACATTAAGGCTTAGAAACACTAAATTTTTTTACTGTCCTTCTCAACATTTCTGTCACTATTTAAAAACGTCTGTTGAAATTTGAAATTATTTCTGAGTGCAAGACTATAGAAAAATATCTAAAGCAAGGCCTATGCTATAAATGTAAAGCCTACCATAGTTGATGTAAAAAATAACAGGTCTACATGACAATGAGTAGGGCAAAATCTCAGGCTATGACTGGAATATTTCAGATCGGTTTCAAAAAGAATGGCTAACATCGTACTTATATATATACAAATACTTTTGTGTCATATAGTCCTAAAAGCAGCAATAAAACAAACTCTGTAACTAATGCTGTTATACATAAAAAGCTCCTTATTTAATATGTTACACCTACTATCACTACAAAAACAATTATTCAATTGTGATCAATCAACAGTTGTCCTACCACATATAATATCCAGCGCACATTTTGCCAGGATGGGACTAATGTTGAATGCATTTCCCTTTGCTTTCTCTTCCAGGTTTTCCACTAAAATTTCAGCCTTTTCATTGAACACCTGCATAAAAGCGTTTAGAATGTGGAAGTGGAATGCTGACGTTAACATCTTGCGCCGTGTTTGCCATTTCGTTCCATTACTACAGATAAAGAACATTTATTATTAAGAATTGTTATTATGTAATTATTCAAAAAAGTAGTATAGCAGCAGTATTAGTCAGTGTATACAAATGAATATATGAGTAGGTAGTGTTTTTTTGACTAACAATGAATTATATCTGGGGTAACTAAGCATGGTCGGCCGATAATGGTCAGCATGAAGTTTGGGGAGGGGTCAGAGGAAGTCTTCTGGGGCTGAAACATCCGAGCATGTACCTGTAAATAATTGATTAATTTTATGATCATACTGATTATATTTGCAAAGGGTTTGGGGGTGGAGAGAAGTTAAGTTTATTAAAGAGAAGTTTGGACAAAGCCTCCTCCCCCTAAATCTTCCTGTTATTGGCCTGAATGAAACATACCTTGTCAGAAGTCCTCTTCCAAGCCAAGGATGAAGAAAACTGTACTCGTCTGATTTAGTTATATGTTTGTTTGACTTCAAAATTGGCTGTAATGGAGAAAAAAAATACAAATCTCATACGAACTAAGCATACAAGAACAAGCAATTTCAAAAACTATTATAATTGCATACAGGCCCACTCAAAATAAGTCTTCAGACTTTCGTCAAAGCAAACATAGTTTTGTTATCAATCATACAACCCATGTAAACTTGAAAATTTGTCTTTGGAGTTACCAAGTTACAATTTAACAGTCAAAACACACATATAGTTACCAACCATCGTATCGTGTGGGATGGTCTCGCATTTTAATGTGATTTTGGATGAAACACACATTTTGCAGAAAAAAATGTGTGATCATAAATGTGTCACGCATTTAGCACATGTCGATGCATGACTAACAAATTGAGGGGAAAATGTATTTAGAATTAGAAGAAATTAGTTTTATTAAATATTTAAAGGTCATGCAGTAGCTTAGTCAATAGAGAACTTTCGTTTTCTCGTTGGAGAATCAATTCAGCAGGGAAAATTTCTATTGCCCCACCAAAACAACCCAGCCAACCACGCACTTAGTAGAATCTAGACGTGTGCGGTCTTGCGCGTTTATTGTCATAACCAACTGTTGATGTGACTGGAACCAGCCCACACTGGGGTTCCGCCCCTAGAAACCAGTGGCCCTGGCGCCCTCCCCCCCCACCCCCTTAACTGGTGTAGTCACGCATTTCAAATCTCTTAGGTTAGTAACTATGCACACATAAGATAACATAAAAAAAGGAACAGGATTTTGTGTGCTATCATTTGTGTATTCTACACCAAAGAATTCAAATCCAATTCAATTTAACAACTCAGATATTTTATTTATTATTTTAATTGTACACATCAAAGGATGAATAACAATAGATTTATAGATCAAAAAACATACCTCTAACAACTCGGCCTTGAAGATAATTATATATGGAATCCATCCAATCCAGAGACAAATCATTCCATGCTCTCGGAAGTCCTTACACCAATCAATGACCATCTTGTATGTAACTATAATAAATTATATTAAATGAAATATGTATCAACATTGTGTACAGTCTGAGACATTTGCAAATTGTGCAAGCTCTTTCTTGCACAGTTTGTGCAAGGAAATTTTGGACAACTTACAAACTGTGCAAGGACTTCTTTGCACAATTTTAAAACTGTTGGCAGTTTAGGTTTTTTTTTTTTACTTTTAATAATGTATGATTATGACTTTAGGCCTAGTAATAGGCCCTATCTATAATGCTATATGTTACTTTTAATCATAAAAGTTTATGATGCTTATGTTGGCATAGGCTATACTGGCTCAACTTTTTTTTGCTTTGACCTTGTTATATTTTAATCTATACAATCTATTTGTCAACTTATCAATCAATTAAAATAATTAATTAATATTCAATTTAATATTTGTTTAATAATGTAGCCTAGGCCAAGAGAATCTGTAGAGGCTAGGGATGTTAGCCATAGGGTCCAGCAGCTGGCTACGGCGAGGCCTAGCCCAGGCTCGATGAATCATGCAACAGACTAATTCCTATAAATATTAGTTTTAATAGTGGTATCCGTTAATAAATGTAATTTTTATTCTTATTTTTTACATGGCAGCTAGTACCAACTGCGTCCCACTCACACATGCCCTATCTTTTTTATCATTACAAATTTTCCAATCACTTAACACATCGTAATTGTTGTATTCATAATCATAAGGTAAGACTTTTTTTATACCTTTTTATTAGCGAACCTGTTGCCCACTAATAACGATGATTTTGAAAAATAGAATTTTATTTTTGGCCAATTAGTGCACCCGCAATTTGAGAAACAATACGGTAATTAAGTCAAAGCAAGTCGGCATACTATAAAGGATTAATGATATATGTACAAATAAACAGTGATAAGAGTGAACAATGAATTTCGTAGGATGCGTTAAGAATGACAAAATATTCTCTGTATCTACTGGAACCGAGCCACATAGTTTGTATTCCACTATTTGCATTCACACCTGGGCTGTGTATATATATTGCCTTGGTTTGGCTCTGTAATCATTTGTGGTCGTGGGACTAGTTTGGGCCCTACCTAAGCTGGTCGAACGTTTCGTTTGGGTCTATACCCTAGCTGCACTGATAAG